TACATTGCCATTGGTAGTCTATGAATTCAGACTGAATTAACTAGTCTTCAATACTAGACCTTATTTAACAAAATCTTGTAACAATCCTCACTACACACTGCTGTAGTGACATGGCTCCTTTAAATGGCTTGTCCATTTACACTTTAAATAAAGACAAACACCTAAAATCAATATACATGTACATGATAAATACAAATCTGCAACATCTATCACATTGCAAAACATTAAAAGGTGAATACTATAAAACATAACTGTTTATGAAACTCGCATGTTAATCCTAGCTTATTGTTCAGATGAGCTGAAAACATTGTTCGCGATTTAATATCAAAGGCTCCTTGAGGGGGAATATACACTGGTCTTCACTTGTGACAGTCAAAATTACTTTTCAACTTGGTAACAACAGTACCAACTTCTGGATAGGTCTATCAAGTTCAACGGGAGGGCGTTTACGCTTTCCCTCATTGTCCAATGTTCCGTCTGCTATCAGTATCTTGACCTTTCTGACGCAACCGTCCTTGCTGGGGTAGACATCGACTACGCGTGCGAGTGGCCACCGACCGCGAGCATCTTCGTTCTCCTTTGAGATGACGATGTCGCCTACCTCAAGGTTTCGACGTTTAAGAACCCACTTCTGGCGGCTCTGCAGCTCCTGGAGGTACTCCCGTCTCCACCTAGCCCAGAACTCGTTGGCTGCATACTGAACCCGCCTCCACCACTTGCGTGAATAGAGGTCCTCGCGCTGGAAGGCTCCCGGTGGAGGAAGAACCACCTTCGCCTTGGCTGTCAGAAGGTGATTTGGAGTCAGTGGTTCAGGGGCACCAGAGTCGCTCAGATTCGTTGTTGTCAGAGGCCTTGCATTTATGATTGCCTCTGCCTCTGTTAGAAATGTCCGGAAGGCCTCGTCGTCCAGCTGGCTACCCACCGTTTGCAGAAGGGGTTCTAGAACTCGACGTACAGTCTGGATTTGCCTTTCCCAGACACCGCCCATGTGAGATGCATGAGGTACGTTCATCTTGAACGGTATCCAATCACATCCGTTCTGCAGTAGGTATTCTTGCACTTGAGACTGGTCCATTTCAGCTAAGGCGTGTCTCAGCTCGGTACGGGCGCCTATGAAAGTTGTTCCCTGGTCGGATCGCAGCTGTCGCACCACTCCCCGTCTATTCATAAATCGCCGCAAGGCATTTATGAAGCTGGATCCGGTCAGACTGTTGGCTGTCTCTAGATGCACACTCCTTGATGCCATACAAGTGAAAAGGACTCCATACCTTTTCACCTCACTTCGTCGCTCCTTAACCAGGAAAGGTCCGAAGTAATCGACTGCTGAGTATGTGAACGGAGGTGTTGGTTCCAGTCTGTCTTCTGGCAGATCCGCCATCTTCTGCTGCAGTGGCCTCCTTCGCAGACTTCTGCATTTCACACAGCCAGAAATGCACTGCGAGACTGCTGATGATCCTCCAATCACCCAAAATCCATGTTGCCTAACTTCGTTGTGAGTGATGCCTCGACCCATATGCTGAACACATTGGTGGTAGTGCCTGATCACCAAGTGACTGATATGTCCATGTCGAGGGAGAATGACTGGATGTCTGACATCTCGGGACATGTTGGCTCTGGTAATGCGACCGCCTACTCGAACCAGTCCATCTTCGTCGAGGTAAGGATCGAGTCTGTACAGGGCGCTGGTCCTCTTCATGTCATCTTTCTTTGATCGAGCCACTGTTCTGTCACATATTTTGTCTACCGCATCAAGCTTCTTCAGCACCTCCATTTCATCCTTGAAATGGTCCATCTGAACAGCCATGAGAATTACCCTTTCTGCCTCCACTAACTGAGATGTTGTCAGAGGAGGGAGGGTCCGCCTTTCATTTCCTTGGCTTGATGATGAAGATCGCTTGACTTCCTTTCTTCGAAGTCGGTCCTTGAGTTGCAAAACAGCGTGCGATTGCCTTCTTAGCACGATACCAGCTTGAGAAAGGTTCAAGCCGGCTCGACTTGAACTGATCAGGATACTTCGTGTTTGCTGCAGTTGCCTGCGTTGACATAACATTGGCTCTCCTCACTTCAGGATCACCTTCCATAAGCTGGTAGGCATCTGTTTGCTCAGCTTGATGAGTAGGGTTTCTCCAAAGAAACTCTGGTCCTCTGAGCCAGCGACTGTCATGTGTCAGCTGCTTTGCTGACATTCCTCTTGAGGCTTCGTCGGCTGGGTTGTCTCTGGTATCAACATAGAACCAGTCCTTGGGGTCTGTCAGGTCTCGGATTGTTGTACCCTGTTGGCTACGTAAGTATGGAATCTCTTGGCTTCATTCCGTATGTATCCTAGCACCACTGACTATCTGTCCAGAAGAAGTCCTTAGCGTCATGATACTTCAGCTCTTCTTTCACGAAAGAGCTCATCCTGGCAGATGTGGTTGCTGCAGCCAGTTCTAACCTTGGAATCGTGATCTGCCTCAGTGGCGTAACTCGAGATTTCCCAATCACCAATGCACAGTGAACATTGTCGTCTTCATTGATGAATCTGACGTACGTACACTGACCGTAGCCATCTTCACTCGCGTCTGAGAAGTGGTGGAGCTCCACCTGCTTGATTTTCCCAAACCCATTCGGTTTGAGACATCTTGGAATCTGTAGTCCTTCCAGATTACGTACATCCTCCAACCAATTCTCCCAGCGTGCTCGTAGTGCTTCTGGCATTGGAGTGTCCCAGTCGGCATTACTGCGACACATCTCCTGCAGGATTCGCTTCCCAGGCAGCATCACAGGACTGATGAAACCACATGGATCGTAGAAAGAGCTGACCGTGGACAAGACTCCTCTTCTGGTGAAGGGTCTTTCCTTTATCTCCACAATGAAGTTGAAGACATCATTTTGGATCCGCCAGACGACTCCCAGAACTCTCTCCAGAGACAGTGAATCCTTGTCGAGATCTAACTGCTGGACCTCCTTTGACCTGTCCTCTTTTGGAAAGCTCTTCAGAACGTCAATGTCATTGGAGATGACCTTGTGCAGCTTAAGACCTGCCTTGGCACAGATCCCTTGGCTGTCCTTCAGAAGTTTCACCGCTATTTGTGTGGAAGGTACAGAAGTCAAACCATCATCCACATAGAAGTCCTTCCTGATGAATTCAGCAGCGTCAGCTCCAAACTCATCTTCCATCCTCTGCTGCCTTTCGTAGGCCGAAGGTGGCTGCACCGGGTGAACTTGCTGCTCCAAAGAGATGGACGGTCATGCGGTACTCCACGACTTGCTTTTCCGGGTTTACCGTCTTCCCACCAGAGAAAGCGCAGCAAATCTCTGTCCTCTGGAGACACGAAGAACTGGTGGAACATGCTCTTTACATCAACAGCACATGCCACCTCTTCCTTGCGGAACCTGCAGAGAACACCCAATAGGCTATTCATCGAGTTTGGGCCCTGTAGGAGGTGATCATTCAGAGAGACTCCCTGGTATGCTGCTGAACAATCAAAGACAACTCGAATCTTGTCTGGCTTCCGAGGATGGTAGACTCCTGTATGAGGGATGTAGTTGACCCTATCTTGGGCATTCAGTCTATCTGTCGGCACCCTTTCCGCATGATCAGCGATCACACCCTTCATGAACTCGGTGTAATCCTCCTGGAACTTTTGATTCTTCCTGAATCTGGCAGTCAATTGATTCCATCTCTTGATGGCGAGGGGCTTGTTGTATGGAAGGGACATCTCCTTGGACTTCAGAGGTAGGGGCATCTCATAGTGTCCATCCTCTCTCTTCCTGACTCCTTTCTCCAACATGCTCATGAACTTCATCTCGTCGATGGAATAGGGCTTTCCCTTCTGATTCATTTCAATGAAATCCTTCTCCAGCACGTTGAGAACTCTTTCTGGGGAGAATACTTCCTTTGCCCGATTGGCGTAGGCAAAGTGAGGGTAGTCGTCCTGGACATATGTCTTCTTGCAGAAGATTTCCTGGTTTGCAGACTTGCAAACGGTCCCAACGACACCCCATCCCAGAATGGATCTCTGAGCGTAGTAGGGTTCGTCTTCTCCACCGCAGATGATGTCCCTGGGTCTAATGGCTCTCGGGCAGTCATTGCCGATGAGAAGTCCAACTTCTATTGCTGGATTGTATGGCATGAGGTCGTCGGCAATGGGGGACAGATGAGCCCATCTCTTCATTACTTCACCCTTAGGAATTTGAGATCTCCTAGCTGGAACGTCGTCCCTCTGATAGCATGCTGGTAGGGTGACCACATGCTCTTCTTAAAGTCCAGCACTTCAAGTCCACAGATCCTTGAGGTTTTGATGCGCGTACTCTCGTGCATTGTTGTCAATTGAAGATTGGTATCTGTTCCATCTACACGCATCTTCTCACACAATGCTTTCGACACAAATCCAACGTTGGATTGGTCATCCAGGATCGCGTATTGTAAGATCTCGTTGCCTGGTTGCTAGCATGCCGTACCCACACAGGCACAATCATGCAGTGTTCTTTCCCGTCCTGGTCTGGTAAGGAACAGACGTGGTGCACTTTGAGGAACCTTCATATTCTCTGTTCTGCGGACGATGCAGGCATGTGAGGTGCCTTCCCTGACACTCCTTACATGTTTTCCTCTGAGGACAGTCCTTTACCTGGTGGCTGTCATCACTGCCACATCCCATGCAAAGTTTCTTCTGGAAGAAGAAGTGCTTACGAAGTGGATGAGGCTTCTTGGCGAATTCCTTGCACTCATCCAGATGGTGCTTTTCATTGCAAAAGGGACACGATGAGAACTTGCCTTGTTGACCACCATTGAATGCTCTAGTGGACAGCGACTTTCCAGCAAATCCCTTATTTCCAGCTGGAAATTGCCTAGGCCTGGATTCTTGGTTCTTCAGGCACTCCAACTCTGGAATGCTGGCCTTGCGTGCTGCGTCGTTGACGAATTCTGCAAATCTTGAGAATGTCGGATAGCTACCAAGTCCACGACGTTGCCACCTGTCAACTTCGTCACGCCATTTCCGTGCGAGGTATGCTGGAAGCTTCTCCAACATCTTTACGTTTTCTTGGGGAAAATCCAAAATATTAAGTGTTGAAATTGTCACCTTTGCAGCTTCCACCTGGTTCAAGAAGTCTGCGAAATCCCTCAATCCTGTAGAGTCTTGGTTGCTGATCCTTGGCCATGAGTTCAACTTCTTTGTGAAGGCAGCAGACACTACGCTCTGGCTTCCGTATCGTTCTGCAAGTGCTCCACATGCTTTGTGGTAGGCGTCCTCAGTGCCAAGAAGAAGATAGTGCTGCACCAACCTCTTTGGTGCTCCAGCCACAGAGTTATTCAGGTAATGCAGCTTTGTAGGATGATCAACTGGATTCCTGTCTACGAGGCTCACGAATGCATTTTTCCAGAGGGGATACTGGAGGGGGTCTCCACTGAATACGGGAAGATCGATGTGCGGCAACTGACTGGTCACAGCGACCTGCTGAGAGCTAGCACTTTGTATAGCCATCGACCTTGCTACCTCTGCGAGTGATTCAGCTACCCTTTGCAACCCATTTGATTCATACACAGGAGTGACATCACTCCTTGACTGTTGAGGGCTCTGCTGTGCTACACTATCTTGGGATTGCAAATATCTCTGGATGGAGTCCTCCATTTTCTCCTCAGGAAGATCTAATTTGACAGAATGGGTCTCTGAATATTCAATGTCATCCCTGCTTCCTTCAAGTTCTGCCATTCTCTCATTGAACTGCTTGGTGAGCTTGAGTTTTCTCAATTTTGAATTTGCTTCTTCTTGTTTTCTGGCAAACTCAATTCTTTTGAGTTCATCCTCTTGATCCATCATCTGGAGTTCAGCATGGAACGCTTGAAGAACTCTTTCGCTTTGCACGGAGCGCTTACTTTTAACGCTCCCTTCCTCGAGCTTATCAGGGAGACTAGTGGCCGTTGCCATGGTAACTTATACAATTCACTATTCGTTTAAGTCTATGGCTACTTTGCCATTCAGCTTACTGGATGCACATGCAGATCCTTGATTCTTATTCAGCTAACTGGATGCACAGGCTACTTTGCCATTCAGCTAACTGGATACACAGGCTACTTAGCCATTCAGCTAACTGGATGCACATGCAGATCCTTGATTGTTATTGTGGCTGCCTCCGTTTACAACTAGTAAACCGAGGAGTTTCGACGATTACACAAACACCCTAAAGTTGTTATTCACAAGATTGAAATGACGAGGTACGAAGATTCAGTTAAAGTTCACGAACTGTCGTTTATTCACTGGTCGTATGGTCACTCAACCTTCAGATAACAATCTGTAACACAACAGAAAGAGAAACAAACTACATAATGTTCATACTTATGAGACACTACAACAATACATGTGCATATATATCATGTCAAAATAGCTTAATAAAGAGATTGAACCTACATAATACTGACTACATGTACTCCAAAACTGTCTCTTTGTTTTATAAGCAACAAGTTATAAACCTTGACTAGACAATGAAATATAAGTCAACTTGCATGTATGTAATTAACTAATTACGCAGTCTATGTACATATATATGCTGCAACAAAACAACTACAAGTATAAAGAATAATATCCTACTAGATAAGAAAGTACCTGTCTTAATTAAAATACATTATAATGCAGTCATCACCATCACAGTGGCACTGTAACAAACATGAATAGAGAGCTGAAGAAAGGGATAGAGAGGGGAAGAGAGAGAGAGAGAGAGAGAGAAGAGAGAGAGAAAGGGTGAGATCAGAGAGGGGTGGATAGCGATACAGAGAAGAGAGAGAGAGAGAGAGAGTACAGTACAATGCACGCATCTCCTAAGTACACTGGAAGAGCACACACATAACTTTCCTTGCCCTTCAAGTTCCAAACTATATATAACAAGAAAGATGTCTAATATTCTCTCCTAAGCTTACATTACTTCATAAAACAATTCAACATTAACTACCACTATTATATTAAGTGAGTTCTTACCAATTCGGGTCTGTAAAATGCTCCACAATCACTGGAAATCAAACTTTTGAAGATGGTTGCAACTAGCAACTTCACTGTTGAGACATTCACTTGAACACTGATGATATACTGCCTCTACACATAATATGCGATACATCTACAACACAAGTGCCTAAACACAGAATGCATACCCATACATTGTATGCAAAGTACTTTCATTTAGCACTATAAAACAAGGGGGCTTCTGTTATATAAGACAAGGGGGCTTCTGTTGACATTAGATAACAGCAGTACATGCCTAATACATTGCCATTGGTAGTCTATGAATTCAGACTGAATTAACTAGTCTTCAATACTAGACCTTATTTAACAAAATCTTGTAACAATCCTCACTACACACTGCTGTAGTGACACTCCACATATATAAAATGTACTGATACTGGTAACTAATAATAATAGACATTTTACAGAACTTTATTTTTTGCATCCAATTTTATATTGCTTGGAGTCTCCATACTTATGGAAAATAATTGGCACTCAAATTTACAAGAAAATATACATAAATGCATATAAATGTACAAAAACTACATTTGTTTGTGAGAAAAGATTCTCTATTTCACTTTTAAAGAAAAGATAAATTGTGGATCTTGTGAAAATGATATGCTATGCCAGCTCTTAAATAGCTGGGTGATATATATATGCAAGTCTTTGTCGACAGACTAAACAGTTCTGTTCACATATGAATTATGCTTAACTACAAGAGTTTGTGCCTGTAAGGTAAAGTAGACTTGCCATGCTGAACTTGAGGGTTTATGATGTGTCTGTTTCCTGCCTGCCTTAAAATCTGTTTCCTACATGGCGCCATTGCTGATGGAGTCACCGTCTGACTGGTTGAGAGTACATTGTAAGCTCGAGATGAGGGTCTTATAATGAGGGTTAAAAATAGTTAGATAAAATCAGTTCCTGCCAAGAACAAAATAACCAACAAGTCACACTCAATTTTCAAGCACGGAACAAAAACAAACAGAGGAGGGGGGGGGGGGGGGGGGGGGGGATAAAACTTCATGGGAAGAAAAAGTCATGTAAACAATATCTGAATCGTTTCTTTTCACTCATAAGTCTATAATTCTACCTATGTTTCGATTTGAATTCTAGTTCTCAATCAAAATTCAAAAATTTACTCAAACATCAACGTATGGGACTGTACAATTCAACTCTCAAGCTTACAAAATCTCGAAAACGAATTATGACACTCATTTCATCATCAAGTTCGATATATACCTAACGTGTGATGCCAGCACTGCATTGATCCGTACAAATTTTGAAAGAGGTCGCTGAAAAGACATTTTATCTGTGTTTCGGGCCCGGCAAAGTCAGAGGTTCAAGATGAAAACATTCAATTGCGTAATCAAACGAAGAGATGGCGCTCTTCAAAAAGCATGAATTCTCGCATGAGCTCACGCCACACACAAAAAATAATAAAACAAACAAAGAAAATGAATGAGAAAATTTCGTAAGCGAACATTAAATAAGTAGACAAAAATTTGGACTCTGAAACTATCATAAGATAGAGCTGACCGAACACGGAGACAAATACCTTCGAATCACGATGAGTACACCGCCCCTAGCTGGCCGAAAAAAAAAAGGACGCTGGCCGGTGTGACCGCGTAGAATGTAAGCGGACACTTTTTTTTTTTTTTTTTGGTCAGGATATTTGAAAATTTGAAATTTTTCGTTGGGGGGGAGGGTGGGGGGGGGGGGGTAAGGTCACTTTACGTAAGCCGTGGGCATTATTAAAAAAAAAAAATAAAAAAAAAAAAAAAAAAGGGGGGGGGGGTTAGTTTTTTTAGGGGGGTTTACCCACATAAAAATACCACCCACCTGCGTACGCCCCTGCTGGCACCAATAGTCCGCCTGCCGCACCGAATGTCCGTACTCTAGTCCACACGTATACATAGTCAAAACAAACAGGGATATACTCTCATATCCCTGATACAAGTATAATTATACTTAATGAATGAAACGACTGGATAACCCATATTCAGCTTAACCAGCTAGCTAGGGATGAAACTACAGGCACTGGCGGATCTAGTAGGGGGGATGGGGGGGGGGGGGGGGGGGGGTGGTGCAAATTGTTAAATTTTCGAGGGCCAAAAAAAAAAGGTGCTTACTACCCCCCAAGGTCGCGGAGAAAGGCTTTTGCCTCTGCCCCCCCCCCCCCCCCAAACCAACCCCCCCCCCCCTTCTCGCCAAAAAAAAAAAAAAAGAGAGAAAGAAGGGAAAGGGAAAGAGGAGAGCTAAAATGAAAAACAAAAGAGGTAGAAAAAAGAAAAGGGTGAAAAGAAGCAGAGATCAGTTGCGATTAATCCCATCAACATTGTGTGGATCGGGGGGAGGGGGCGAAAGGCCCCTGCCTCCCTCACCAAACTTAAATGAAAGAGGATGAGAGAAGTAAGGGAAGGGAATGGGGGGGGGGGAGGGAAAGAGGAAGAAGAAAGGTAGGGGAGATCAGTTACAATTTCTTTTAGTGTATTTTATATTAAAGCCAAAAAGCCAGATATTAAAAGTTAATCATTTTTTCCAATTTGGTGTGATAAAATAATTATTGTTGGTGTTGTTGATGTATTTGAAAGGGTTCCAAAGCACAATATGTCAATGGATTCCTCAAAAAAAGAAAAAAAAAAGGGCCTAGAGTGAGGGGGAGCAGTGTAGGAAAAAACTGTTAGGGAGCCCCTTTGCAAATATGGGGGGCCCCAGGCGCGGATCTACGATTTGTTATGGGGGCCCAATTTGAAATTATGCTAGCCAAATATTGGTACGTAATGGTGACACCGGCAGTGGCGAAATGAGCAAAAACGTTTGGGGGGGGGGGGTAGAACAAAACCCCGCCCCACCCACTTTTCATGCAGGCCTCGCTGAACGTTTCTCTAAGTAGGTTGGGGGAGTGGTATTTACGATAAGGCAGAGCGTAGCGTTAAAGATAAACTTTAGTAGCCTACTGGTAATGCGATTGCATTGTGCATGAAAGAAAAGGTGTGGAAAGGATCAGAAACAGTTGATCATGTAGGTATTGGTGTGCACTGCAAGGTTCTGGAGTCATCAAAATCATAGTAAATTTGACCGAGTCTTGGTAAAGTAACAAGCACTCACATAGAAAGCTATGGGACAACACAAATGGTGTCGGGGCTAGTACCTTGATTTCCTTGTCTTTCTATGCTCATTACTCAGCCAGTATACATTTTCTTCCAAAATTGTTTGGCACATGTCATTTATTTGTAATCTTGAACATTCAGTGTAAGTTTCGTTTGATTCTGTGAGAATTATTATTTTTTTTTTTACCAGTACTGGAGTTTATCTTTAATTGGCGTGGGGTCTAGGGCCTTTTGGCCCCTCTGAACTACAACTTGTTGCCGGCAAAATTGCAACTGATATCCCGCTTTTTTTTCTTTTCTTCTTCCTTTTCCCCTCCCTTTATCTCTTCTTTTCCTTTTTCTTTCCCTTTTCATCATTCTCTCTTATTTTGTAATGGGGGGGGGGGGGGGGGGTGACAGCTGGGATCCAAGACCCTTTCGGCCCTTAATTGATCTGCTTCTCCCCCCCCTTTTTTCCCTTCTTCTTCCTCTTCCTCTTTTTCTTTCCCTTTCTTTCTCTTTCTCTTCTTTTCCTTCTCTCTCTCTTTTTTTTGCGGAGGGGGGGGGGGAAGGCCCTTCCGGCCCCCTGGATCCGCGTCTGCCTTTAGGGGGTAAAGCTGCGCCTGTCGTCAGCTAGCTGAAAGTGTTAACAACTAAAAGCACAGTGTTAAGAACTAAAAGTGAACCAGGTAATCGCAGTGAGGCAAAGTGGTCTCGTGGATAAGCAACCGCCTAGTAAGTGGAAGGTATCGGGTTCGATCCCCAGCTAGTGTATTTTGTTTTAAAGCCCAAAAGCAAGATATTAAAAGTTAATCATTTTTCCAATTTTGGTGTGATAAAATAATAGTGTTGGTGATTGTTGATGTATGGGAAAGGGTTCCAATGCACAATATGTCAATGGATTCCTCAAAAAAACTTGAAAATTGGCTATGGTGAGGGGGGAGCAGCTGAGTGTAGGAAAAAACTGTTAGGGAGCCCCTTTGGGGAGGGGGATCTTTTTTTTTTTTGGGGGGGGGGGGGTCTTTTTTTTTTCTTTCTTGGAGGTCGTCAGCTAGCTGGCGGTCGTCAGCGTAGCCGGTGGCCGGTAGCGTTAGCCCCAAAGCCATGTCCATTTTTTAAACTACATTCAAGAGTCCCTTATTGCCAGGTTAAACAAGTTTTTTTTTTACATTTTCAGTACTACTTTCTTCCTTTTATTCACTCTGTATACTCCCATGCTATCCTTTTCCAGTCTGTAAACAACTTTACAACATGAATTCAATGATGGGCAAGGTTTTACTTTTCATAGCCCAATATGGGCTAACAACTGGCCTGCCCGAGCAGAATCATTTTGTGCTCGACAAAGACACACAGCCTTGGGTAAAGACGTCCATTATTATTATTTTTGTTAGTTATATTTTTTGATTGACAGTATACTATTAAATATCAGGAATATTGGATGCTCTGTTTCAAATACAGTCCAGATTGCCGAGCAATGAATTATCTCATGCTTCTTGTCCAAAATCATATCTAACTGGTTTTTAAAACGGTATCATTTTAATTTCCATTTCCCAGCATTATTTTGAACTGTCTTGAACTGAAGTTGTTTTCCTTTCTTATATTTCGATACCATTACGTCATCAAAATAATGCGGTCATAGTTGCAATGTCATGAATGCTATTTCTACCTCAGTCTTTGGAAATCCTCGCAATGACGAAAGTATTAACTCGATAAAGGGAGTGTCCGTTCTTTTCTTCAATTCATTAATTGATGCCATGTTAGAGCTGAGTAGTTTGTTACATAAATATTCAAGTATAGCCGATGCGAGCTATTAAAAAAAAACTGAATCGAATAGCCTGCATCTTTCATATGAATAACAATGAGCAGTGCCTAAATACAGCTGCACTGCATTTCTAAGTAAGCTTCAACGGAATGTTACTTTCAATGGCATGTTAGTTCGAATGCACCTGTTTCTAAACATAACAATCATTAAATCAGCATCAGAAAGTGTTAACAACTAAAAGCGAACCAGGTAATCGCAGTGAGGCAAAGTGCTCTTGTGGATAGGCGACCGCCTAGTAATTGGAAGGTATCGGGTTAGATACCCAGCTAGTCCATATTTTTGTTTAAATCTTGAAACAAACAAAAACGTATGTTAATTTAACAACAAGAAGTGAACCCGGTATATGCGCTCAAATAAGACCTTTTTAATGTCGGCTGCTAGAATTTTTGCACCCCGTATTCGATGAGGTATATAATAATCTACATTTCATGTGAGTTTCAACACATTTGAAGAAAATGGGAAATTAGCAACGAATGTATTAACCCCCACCCCTTTTTATATACTCTAGACGTTATCAGCGCCAAACGTTTAGGTTTGCTCTAGACATTGGTTGATATGCGCTCAAATAAGACCTTTTTAATGTCGGCTGCTAGAATTTTGTACCCCGTATTCGATGAGGTATATAATAATCTACATTTCATGTGAGTTTCAGCACAATTAAGGCAAGTGGGACGTAGTTGCGAATGTATTAAAGGCCGAACTCCCCATCACCGATATACTCAACATGTTATGCGCTATACGTTTAGGTTTGTTCTGGACATTGGTTGATATGAGCTCAAATTCGACATTTTTAATGTCGGCTGTTAGAATTTTTGCACCCCGTATTCGATGAGGTATATAATAATCTACATTTCATGTAAGTTTCAGCACATTTAGAAGAAATAGGAAATTAACAACGAATGTATTAACCCCCACCCCCTCTTATATACTCTAGGCGTTATAAGCACGTTTAGGTTTATTCTGGACATTGGTTGATATGCGCTCAAAAAAGACCTTTTTAATGTCGGCTGCTAGAATTTTTGCACCCCGTATTCGATGAGGTATATAATAATCTACATTTCATGTGAGTTTCAGCACATTTAAAGTAAATGGGAAATTAGCAACGAATGTATTAACCCCCACCCCCTTTTTTTAATACTCTAGACGTTATATGCGCCAAACATTTAGGTTTGTTCTGGACGTTGGTTGATATGCGCTCAAATAAGACCTTTTTAATGTCGGCTGCAAGAATTTTTGCACCCCGTACTCCATGAGGTATATAATAATTTACATTTCATATGAGTTTCAGGACATTTAAAGCAAATGGGAAATTAGCAACGAATGTATTAACCCCCACCCCCTTTTTTTAATACTCTAGACGTTATATGCGCCAAACATTTAGGTTTGTTCTGGACATTGGTTGATATGCGCTCAAATAAGACCTTTTTAATGTCGGCTGCTAGAATTTTTGCACCCCGTATTCGATTAAGTATATAATAATCTACATTTCATGTGAGTTTCAGCACATTTGAAGTAAATGGGAATTAGCAACGAATGTATTAACCCCCACCCTCTTCTATATATTCTAGACGATATCTGCGCCAAACGATTAGGTTTGTTCTGGACATTGGTTGATATGCGCTCAAATAAGACCTTTTTAATGTCGGCTGCTAGAATTTTTGCACCCCGTATTCGATGAGGTATATAATAATTTAAATTTCATGTGAGTTTCAGCACATTTAAAGATCGTCACCACTACTGGGCCAGAAGGGATTAGACCACACAGAGAGCCATCGAGGTCACTGTGACAGGTGGCTATCTCATTAACTCAGCTCTCATTTAACATAAGAAAAAGAGGATCATGGGGGACCAACAGGCACCGATTAGGGAAGTTTTCTATATAGAGGGAGCAAGTAGCTACAAGTATGGCAGTGTGCCTTTAAAGCAAATGGGAATTAGCAACGAATGTATTAACCCCCACCCTCTTCTATATACTCTAGACGTTATCTGCTCCAAACGCTTAGGTTTATTCTGGACATTGGTTGATATGCGCTCAAATAAGACCTTTTTAATGTCGGCTGCTAGAATTTGTGCATCCCGTATTCCATGAGGTATTATAATCTACATTTCATGTGAGTTTCAGCACATTTAAAGCAAATGGGAATTAGCAACAAATGTATTTCTACTACTTCTACTACTAGTAGAGTCTACTACTACTAGTAAAGTCTACTCTCCTGCTCCTGCTCTGCAACTCTACTCGCCGACTTAAACCAGCTTCTCTCATCTACTCAACTCTCCAACTCAATCCAGTCTTCTAATCAAACCTCTCATCCTGTCTACAACTTTCTGGTTTACAGTCCTTTTCAGGACTATACTCACTTCCGAAAGATACTCTTCCTTCCAACCTCCACTTTCTCGCCTTTCCATTTCACTTCTATTTCTATCCACTTTCCTTAGTCCTTCTAGGACTTTACACATGGTGTACCGTAAACCTCTTCCGCGATTGTTCATACCACCATGCAAACCTTCAAAAAGCACACTTTGTGCGCATGCTCAATGATGACGTCAGTCTTTAACTTCAAATAGGTTGAACGATTATGTCTTTTGCCTACGACCATACCATGCTGAATTTACCGGTTCTCGTCCGATCACCGTAGTCAAGCAGCGTAGGGCCTGGTTAGTACTTGGATGGGAGACCGCCTGGGAAGGGCGTATGACCCCCTCCCCCCCCCCCCCCCCCCCCCCCCCAAGGACCTTTTCCCGGTGAGCGACCCCTTCGATCACCGCCGCGAAGCCCGCCCTCTGCGGCAATAAAGGACCCATTTCTGTTATCTCTCATGGGCTTTTTCATGCATCCTTTTTCTTTAAAGAGGGCCTATTAATCAAAATTTAGGGTGATATGAGCAATAAAAATAGTTTTTTCTTCAGCAAATAAGATGCTTGTATTTCTAAAGTATTTTTTGTTTTCATTGTTTCTTTTCTTTTTTCTTAAAAATCATGTTTTATTCTTCCTTGTTTGGAATTCCTTTTAAAAGGTCAAATATTCTTTTAATGTTTCACCACAACAAATTTCAAAACACCACACCCACCCACAAACATTCTTAAAACAACCACAACAAACAAAACAAATCCATTTACACGTAAGCAGGAGAAAGAAAATAAAATAAATATTACTCGTAAATGATTCAATTGTTCGTCATTCCTTGTATTTGATTCTTGGTTTCAGTTCCATGTTTAAAGTATTTTTTCAACAAAAAAAGTAAAAAAAAGTATAAAAAGGACAAGTAATAGTACATATACAGTAATAAACGACTCTTTTAGTAAATTGAGTTCGGTAGTGAGTTAGCACACATGAATTGGTTAAAAAATGTTGACCATTGAGTTATAGCATAACATTGGTTGCGTGATACAGCTTTAAATCTCAACTATGCAAGGTTTACGTTTGCACATTCGGAACTACAGCTGTACTATAATACTGATCTTTTGAATATGGCACAATTTAGTTTTCTCAATTCTTAGTCAAATATTTGGCTTCCCAGTCATGGCAAGATCTGGAATTTGGTAAAAAAGTACACACTTATAACCGACTATTTACAATACTTTCAATGTTCAAGGCACTTGAATATCTTCAGCACTATTTTGAAAATGATAACCAAAAAAGAGAAATAAAACATGCATATTGAATACAGAGTCATATCGTCCAGTCATCAACATAAGAGTGAAATTTCACAAAGCGCTCTAACATGAGCAAACTTCTACTCTGCTAAGGTGTTAAATGAGTGATTTTCCACTCATTCAAATAGATTATTGGCATCTCATAACGATACAATAGTAACTTAACGATGGCAAACATACAAAACGTATCACAATATGAACAAATTATTTAAATCAGCTCTTCTTTGTCATTTGTACTCGTTTCTGTCACCAAATCTCTTCACTTTCAACAAAAAAAGTATATATACAATCTTTGGCAAGATTTACTTTTCTACCTGAAGCATTACATTTCGTCGCTGTTTTCACGAAGTGACGGTAGTGAAAAAAAATTGCATTCACTTTGCGATTTTCCTCACTACCGTCACTTCGTGAAAACAAGGACGATTTGTACAATGATACAAAATATTTCGACTTTGGTAGCCAGCTACGACATTAACAAATATATTGCTTTAAAAGTCTCTAGACGAGGTATCAAACATATAACAAGATGTGCATACAATCTTTGGCAATACTTAGTACTGTACCCGTAGTATAATATGTGTACTATACTAAACAACACTTTGACTTTGGCAGGAAGGCAACAACATAATGAGATGCCGGTAATATATATATATATATATATATGTATATATCTGCACACTTAATTTTGGAATAGGCATGGAATATTTGGCAAGGTATAGTACTGCATTGCAATGTACTGTAAAGAATAAAGTATTACATTTGTTAAATAATACTGATTGTTTTTTAATACTGTTCCAGTAAAATATAAAGAGATGGGCACATCAAAAATGTCCAACATGACAAGACAAACAATCTTATCAGTATCTAGTAATGTATGGTACCTGATTAATGCGAAAATACATTGATCTGCATTCAAGGTACTGAACTATCCATGTTCTGAAAAAATACACAAAATGAATAATCTACTTTTCCTCCTCTCTATTTCTTTGTTTCCTCTCCAACTCTTCGTCAACCACTTTCTTAAAGTGCTCATAATTATTGTACACCTCTTCAAATCCGGGTGTAGTTGATCTGTTTGTGGTTGGGCAGAAGGTAAAGATTTTTTTAGTATTACCTCGAGTTTTGGCTTTCGATGGTGTGTACCTTTTTCGAAGCCCACCACATTTTTCGATGAGACATGCAGCACAGGGTTTCTTGGATGGGTTAGGGAGGAAACGAGTCTGTTTTGGTGGAGGAGGAGGTGCAGGTTGAAATGAGAATGGTACACTGCTTGATGGTTGGTTGAGGGAAATGGACTGTGCCTGTGGTTGTGATGGCACAACCAAAAGGATTGGTACTCCAGAAGCTGCTGATGGCATACAACGAGATGATGTCTTTGGAAGAAGTGGCAGCAACTTGGTTTTGGTTGGTGGCTCAACGGCATAAGATGTTGATGGTTGAGAGTCAAACTCAAGCCGCCTCTTTTCTCCATGCCGTTTTCCAGATTCGTGGGGGATATCTGAATATTGTACTTGCTGGAAAGTGGCTGCTGGCAGGGATTGAGGGAGCTTTCCGGCCTCTGGAATGGTTTGGGTAGATAGGACGTTACGATGGGATTTGACTTTTGGTTGCGTGGTGGATAGAAAGTTTGTCCTCTTTTCTTTTTTTGAGATGAAAGTGGTGATGGACTTTGCATTGATGTTTGGAAGAGGTATGTCAAGGTCAATGAGTACAGGATCATCCCGAACTCTGTCAACGATCCTCTTGTAGCTGCCTTTGATCAAAGTGGCAGCTTTCGCTGGTGATGACAGGCAACCAACCGTTGGCCGATTCTTTAACATTTTAATGAGGATGTAAAGAAGTCGTGACTCCTCCGTAACCTCTGCTGCTCTCATCCATCCAAATTTCGTTTTTTGGGCAGAACTATTTTCTGGGCTTTCTGGTCCTAAACACCTACCAAACAGACTATACCCCCACTTTGACTCGTATTTCTTTACAAAATTACGAGCAGACCGATCATGGTCAGCCAGTTTGTTGGCAGCTGCTGCGATTTGCTCCCTCAGAGGGACTGGGATGATGTGATGGTCGCCGTTATCAGACAGCTGAAGGAGTAGAAGGGCAAGCTCCTCTACTTCCTGAAAGCCAGGGAGATGAAGATGGCTTCGTTTCATCAGTACATCCTCGAGCACTGGGCTGACCTCCTCTGTCACCTGCTCCTCCTTCGTCACAGCAGCATGGGCAGCATGGACTGAATCCATGTGGTTTACTGGAAGGGAACTTTCATCATTGTCATCCTCAATTCCCTCGTCCTCTGACTCTGCCAACTCCTCGTCGACCTCACGAGATTGCTCTTCAGCTGTAAAATGAAAGCAGAAAAAAAAGAAAAGCATATAAATAAACTACATAAATACTTAAAACTCATTTACAGTGTTTTGTTTGACAATACAAGGAATATTAGGGTATATGATTTGGGGTGACAGAAAAAAAAACAGACTGTTTTGCCAAAATACTTATTAATTAACTGACTGTAAGCAGTGTATCACACAAGAATTTATTTTATTCAAATAAATTACAAATTATACCACATGTATGAACTAACATAGATTTAACATTGCAAACTAATCTATGAAAAAAGTTGCTGACCTTTCTGTATGTAGTCGGTAGACTGGCTGTACGCATATTCTACTCCCAACAGCTCTTCCTCTGCAGGGTCGTGATACCTGTCCGGATAGGCCATGGGAGCTGAAAAATTTGGCTCGAATAGATGATCCTTCCCAAAGAGGGTCTCTGCATGCTGGTTGAGACGTTGGACCTGTCTGGGATCATCCAATGATGTGAGCCTACCTCGACCCCCAGGAACCTTCTTTGCCTCCATTCGCCTGTTCCATTGGACCGCAAATGAAATGAGATACACCTGGGGGGGGGGGGGGGGGTAAGGGGATGAAAGAAATTTGGAATTTAACAAAACAGATAACAGATCATGCAATTAGAATACAACATTATAATGAATGCATAATTATGCACACCAGTTATATTATTAAATGAGTGATCATCTGACTGGCTGACAGAGTTCAAACAACTGAAATATAAATTTGTAGAGGTTTGACATTATATATATCTATTGTTGTTAAAATAAAATCTGAGGCAAGTGTGTTTACTTGGAATGGTATTATCCCGCATCGCTTTGAAGGGATGGCTTGATACATGTGGGAATGTAGTCCTTCTAGGGAGTTGCTGCCTCTTCGACAACGGTACTTGTTCAGCTGTACCCTGTTGATATTTACAACTTTGGTTGCCACATACAGCTGAATGTATGGTGGATCCTAGAAATGGATATGGATAATTAAGAAATGGAAAACCAATTAAAGACATTTATAGAGTGTATGGGAGAGAATAATATTTTCTTGCTTTTAGTTCTCACTGCAAGGAAGAAAAAGATAATAATACCAATTTTTAATACACCACTTTCTGAAAAATGCACAAAATGCATCAGATAGATACCAAAACTATCTGTGAGTGCAAGAATTAAAAATACCTCTATCATTGCTATCAATAAAATTCAAAAAATTAGTAAATGAGCCTTAGTAATACACATATTTACACATACTATTTAACACAATGTAAAATCTCACCTGCATGCAACTCAAATGCTTGCTTGCCATGGCCCAACGAGCATCAACGGCTTCTGGGGACTTGAAAAGCGGTATCCCGTCTATGTCAAGGCCAGCTGGTCCCTTAACTCAGATAGGATGTGCTCAATTGCACAGACACTCTCCTGAAGAATTATAAAACACAACAAAAAGGGACAAAAATAAGTAACGCCATACAGATTATAAATTTAAAAAAAGGATTAAACAAAAATAGGATTAAACAAAATTTTATTGATGTACTGCTAGTTTCCACGGGGGGGGGGGGGGGGGGTAGTTATGTTTAGTTAATATCCAGATGATTTAAACATTTTCACTATAACAAAGAGCACAAAACATTAAGTTTTAATGGAAATGTCTGTTGCATTAGATAAATTGATTTATATTGTGCCCGTAAAGATGGGGGAGGGAATATGTATATGTAGTGAAAGAAAAGGGGGTATTAAATTCAGAAAGATGAAAGAAAAAAAATCTGGACATTGATCGTCATAGATGGCAGTGTTGGAGTATAACAATCTCTCAGAACGTTTACATATAAGAAGCGTTATTTACGGATTGTATCAGAAGAACAATTTCCATGATCCAGATTCCAAGTGAGAACTCATCGGTGATTGAAGCCTAGATATCAATACAAATCTGAATATAACACTCACCTGCAGCAATTGTTGTCTGCATAGACCTTTGGCGCTGGGACATTGGCACGTTTAAAACGTGCAATGAGTCCCTGAGCAAGCCTTCTGTAGCAGTCCTCAGACTCAGAGGCAACCACAACAGTGCTGACAAACTGTCCCCATTCATTGAGCACGCTGGTGACGAAATGCATGGTGCCTTTTACATCTCCGTGAATCTTCTTAGGTATCTGTAAGGAGAAAACAAACAATTAATATCTTCTTTTTGGGGGGTCAAAATATGAATATGAGACATTTTCTATTATATCGCACTATTTATGAAACACAACATTTCATTGCTTTTAATTTTTACTAGAATTTTAGTCTTTCATGTTCTTAGTTCTTCCTTTTTATATATTTTATTGTAGTATTACTGTAACAGTAACCAAAATAAAACAGTTAAAAAAAAATACACACCTGTTTTGTACCATCTATACACAGTATCTCTCCTGTCACACTCAAGATGGAAGCTCTGTACACGGGCATCTTCCAGGGGCGTCGCCAAAGGGGGGGGGGTGTGGGGGGGTGCGACACCCCCCCCACCTGTCAGGATATTGTCGGTAAAATTGCGCTGCCGTCGGGAAAAAGAGAAAAGGGGGAGGGAAAAAATGAGAGGGAAAAAAAGAGAGGGGAAAAAGAGAGAGGGGAAAAAAGAGAGGGAAAAAAAGAGAGGGAAAAAGAGAGGGAAAGGGAAAGAAAAGAAAAAAAGAAAAGGAAAAGAAAAGAAAGAAAGGAAAAGAAAGAAAAGAAAAGAGAAGAAAGAAAGAGAAAAGAGAAAAAAAGGGAGGAGAGGAAAGAAAGGGGGGGGGAAGAAAAAAAAAAGGGGAAAAAAGAAGAAATAAGAGTGAAAGGGAAACAAAAGAAACGGGAGATGAAAGAGAGGAGAGAGATGGGAGGTAAGAGTCTGAGAGAGGAGGAGTGGGAGTAAAAGAGAGAAGGGGGTTGTTGGGTGGAGTCGTCTCGTCGAGGGAGCAAGAAAGACACGGGTAAATATGTTGCTGTGTCGGGTCAGCTGTGTCGGTATTCTTGCTCGATCCTCGTGTACTATATCAATGCAGAAGTTTGAAGTCGGTGAGATGTTGTCGGTCGGAAAAACTGAATTCAGACAAGGATAAAGAGTCGAGAACAGTACACCGAGTCGTCTGCTATTTCTCATAATTTAATGAAACGTCAAAGCTTCCGCGCTTTGCGCGGGAGGGGGGGGGGAACTGAATTCAGAAAAGGATAAACAGTCGAGAACGATACAGCAAATCGTCTTCTTTTTTATAATAATTTAATGAAACGTCAAAGCTTTCACGCTTCGCGCGGGAGGGGGGGGGGAACTTCGTTCAGCCAAGGATTACCAGTCGAAAACGGTACAATTAATCGTCTTTTTTCCTAATAATTTAAGGAAACCTCTAAGCTTCCGCGCTTCGCGCGGGAGGCCCATCACCCACTCCCCCCCCTAATGAGCGCGCTTTAAAGTGATTCTCTTGCTCACTACCGCCCCTCCCTAAAATAAGATCCTAGCTCCGCGCCTGCATTAAAATATATAGCTATGATGCTGACTAAATTGAAGAAATAATTCGTATATTTATGTCGTCGAGGAAAATGACCATTTTGCGCATATGCAAGTACTATAGATAGTCCATAGGAAAAACAATTTAGCCTTCGGCCCCAGGTTTATAGGGTTGAATTTGTAGATATTGGACATTTAATTTTGTCGGTAATTGGTGGCTAGTTTTGTCGGTAATCGTTGGCCTCTACACCCCCCACTGAAAAAGGTCTAGCGACGCCCCTGGCATCTTCTCCATCTCCATGATGAGATGAGCTCTCCGTAGGACACGGGGGGATGGAAGGGGTGGAGATGGGATAGGCGGGGTGTAGTGATGGTCAGTGTAGGAAAGTATGCCTCGCTGGGATGTGGATGTCGTGGTGGCGTTATGGGCTTCCATAAGGAGAGTCTGGTAGAGATCTCGCCGCTCACTATACCATTCATCGTGACCCTGTTGAATCATCCTCTGCACTTTGTTCATGGATATTGCATTGAGACGATCACTCAACAGGGTCACTACATTTCTGTCTATGGCCCGCTTTCCACAGATAATGGCCGGGAACATACTTCGAACTGCAGAGGCAAGTTGCATGAGGATGGTCGGACTGAAGGCATGCCAGCGATATTGTACCGGCTGATCATCGCCCTTGGACTGCTGACGATGACGCATGCAGAACAGGCACTTCAGGCGTTCGGTCAATAGGGTGTGATTCTGCCTCATGCCGCACACCTGACGGGCTGTATTGCCATAGCCACTTCTTGTTAATGGCCCGGTCCCCTGGCCGACGGACACAAAACGTATGCATAAAGGACACAGCGGACGAGCAAAATTTCGAGGGTGGTTCCATCCGTTTTCATCCGCTCCAGAAATGGACAAAATTTGCGAAAATTTGCGAAAACAGAACGGAAAATAACGGACGTGGGTAGTATGTAGCGGGGATGTTAAACGGATGTTCATCGGAAGCCTAGCGGATAAAAGCGGATGGAAGTGGATGACAGCTTTGAATACTTTATATACGAGATGTATACGCTTACATCCTTTCTATTTCCGTGCTACTAACGATGTATAGACGTTCCATGTACCTTATCTTTCCTCCCTCTGTCCGTTTTCAACTGCAGCGGATGTGAGTTGCGAGGATGCCCAGAGGATACAGAGAGGATGCAGCGGACGCTTAACGGATGATAACGGACATAGAACGTTTGTTGCTCGTATTTGTCGCGGATTTACATCGTACACGGCGGAAGTTTATCCGTTCTAAAAGTTTTGTGCAGCTCAAAACTTTTTGCGCGGATGAAATCACAGTGGACGGATGCCCGATGGATAGAGCGTATGAAACACGTATGCAATGAGTACACAACGGATGCATAGCGTTTTCCAACGGATGGCAAGATTTTTTTACGTTTTACATCCTCTTTGCATCCGTAAGTGCAGTGGGACCGGGCCTTAAGAAGCTACCTTGTGGAGCAGGGCAGTTAGGATTGGGACATCTGATCTTGGCTTCCATCACTCCAACTGGCCTCCAGAAGAAGACGGGGGTTGTAAAAAAAGATAGCATGGACGGCAGCGTTCCTCTGACTATCGTAGGGAGAGGAGGGGGATTAAATGTCATCTTCTTCTTAAATATCTTGCGAACCGCAGTTGCTCGTTCAAAGATGCCGTAAGGCCCATCGCTCTTCAGCCAGGGGACATTTGGCCGAAACATACCCTGCACCTGTGGTGGAGGCTCATCCCAATATTGTTGCTACCCTTCCTGTACTGTGGAGCACTCTGCAGATGTCGATGTTGAGGGCACGTCTTCAGGTGATGTGGGTGACGAAGGTATCAGCTTTCCAACTGTTGTCACTGAACATGACACTGCAACCTCACAGTCACGAAGTACATCCTCTGAAAAGTCAAGAAGAAAATCAAAGCTAAAAGATACACATGGAAAGAAATATAAACCCAACATTTAAATTCATCAGCATCACCAGTATCAGGCTGTAGCAGAAACAAAAATTACATGAATAATTATCAAATGAATGAACATATATTTAGAATTATTACATAATTCCTGGTCTTATATTGTTTAATATTAGAGTTTTAAAAATTAAAAATTAAAAAAAAAAAAAAAAAAAAAAAAAAAATCATATTTGAAAAGACACTTGTACTCGGTGAAGGGTAATATGCTACGCTGGGATATCAGAAAAGATGGAACTGCTTGCCTAAAACTGTGAGTTTTCACTGCATAGATAAGTATTAAAATGTATATTTATTAATCTCAAGGAATAAAAAGAGTTTTCTAGGAAATATCAGCTTACCTGCCAATGAGAGCAGTTCAGCATCTTCAACATACTCTGGCTCCACAACTGGTATTTTTTCTTTCTGGACTTCCTCTTTCTGCAAAGAAAAGAAGAAGAGAACACACATTTGTTTCTTCTCAAATTGCTTATTGGTTTGTGCACATTGAGTTTACTCTCTTCTACAAAAAACTTGTGATTAAAGATACTTTGTACATGTAGATAGACCAATTTAGCTGCTAACGCATAATGCATTAAATGCAGGAAACAGTGCACAATGTTAGTAGACTGAATATGCTATAAAGAATGCACATGTGAGCAGCACATCCTGATCCTCCTGCCATTGAACCAAGTCAGGTTACATTGCCGAGTTCAGCTGCTAGTACAGTAATGTTACCTGCATTATTTTTTGTGCATCCAGAGACATGTAAACACTATCCTAAGTTTATAGATGAGAGACTGCTCTAATGTCACTATGGACAAATTTACAGAGTAGGAAATTTTCATGAGGGCACATGAATTAAAGTAAATAATGATTTCTAACCTTTATTCGCTTCTCCAGAAGAACGCTGACACTCGGAAATTCTCTGACCCACTCTAGAAGCCGTTCCTTCTGCCATTTTAGATGGGGGCACTTCTCTCCCTCCCAGTGAAATGCGTTAAGCAGCCACACCACCCAGCCAACATCATTTTCAAGTAACCACTTGAATGTTTTGCCGGCATACTGGCCAAACGTGATTACAAGGCAGGCTCTCCACAGCTAGTGCCCCAACTTCCTCGCAGCACTCTCTACCGTCTTGAGATCTGGCCATTGCTTATCTTTTGGTTTGTCCTGCTTTGCCACATTATCCGCTTCTGCAGTAGACTTCAGCCTCGCCTCTTCATTCCTGTATAGGCGCACCTGGGGATATTTGTATGGCTGGCAAGGTTCTGCTTTAAAGTAAAAGCCTTCTCACAAAATGAACATTTGAGAGTTTTTGCATCGTGGGTTTTCATATGCCGAGTTAAGTTCGACTTCGCTGAAAATGTTTGGTTGCAAATCCTACATTTATGACTTGTCTCCATCTTCAGTCTGTGGATCTGAAAATAAAGTATAGCAAAGAAAGAACGAAAAGTAAATATATCAGCTAATCATTTCATGGCACATACTGTTCTCTCAACTCAAACTATAAGGGTACGTAGCCCATTCACCAACAAGTAGTGGTCTTCCATGGGGCCCTGAATGAACATATTTACATCGTTTATAACATTTATGCAGAACAGTAACAAAAATAACCCTCAACCGTTTCCAAGACACGGGACATGACGTAACATTGACACTGGTCAATAAAGCGCACTTTGTGCGCATGCTCAATGATGACGTCAGTCTTTAACTTCAAGTAGGTTGAACGATGATGTCTTTCGCCTACGACCATACCATGCTGAATATACCGGTTCTCGTCCGATCACCGAAGTCAAGCAGCGTAGGGCCTGGTTAGTACTTGGATGGGAGACCGCCTGGGAATACCGGGTGTTGTAGGCATTTTTTTTAATTTTTTTTTTTTTGGAATTGTTTTTGCTTGAGGTGACGCCCTTGACATGCTGAAACCCTCCTCTTACCTTCCCTTTCCCTCTGTTTTTGGGGGGTTTCTTTTTAATTTATTTATTTATTTGTTTCTAATCTTTTGGCAGGGTACGTAGCCCATTCACCAACAAGTAGTGGTCTTCCATGGGGCCCTGAATGAACATATTTACATCGTTTATAACATTTATGCAGAACAGTAACAAAAATAACCCTCAACCGTTTCCAAGACACGGGACATGACGTAACATTGACACTGGTCAATAAAGCGCACTTTGTGCGCATGCTCAATGATGACGTCAGTCTTTAACTTCAAGTAGGTTGAACGATGATGTCTTTCGCCTACGACCATACCATGCTGAATATACCGGTTCTCGTCCGATCACCGAAGTCAAGCAGCGTAGGGCCTGGTTAGTACTTGGATGGGAGACCGCCTGGGAATGGCGGGAATACCGGGTGTTGTAGGCATTTTTTTTAATTTTTTTTTTTTTTGGAATTGTTTTTGCTTGAGGTGACGCCCTTGACATGCTGAAACCCTCCTCTTACCTTCCCTTTCCCTCTGTTTTTTGGGGGTTTCTTTTTTAATTTATTTATTTATTTGTTTCTAATCTTTTGGCAGGGTACGTAGCCCATTCACCAACAAGTAGTGGTCTTCCATGGGGCCCTGAATGAACATATTTACATCGTTTATAACATTTATGCAGAACAGTAACAAAAATAACCCTCAACCGTTTCCAAGACACGGGACATGACGTAACATTGACACTGGTCAATAAAGCGCACTTTGTGCGCATGCTCAATGATGACGTCAGTCTTTAACTTCAAATAGGTTGAACGATGATGTCTTTCGCCTACGACCATACCATGCTGAATATACCGGTTCTCGTCCGATCACCGAAGTCAAGCAGCGTAGGGCCTGGTTAGTACTTGGATGGGAGACCGCCTGGGAATGGCGGGAATACCGGGTGTTGTAGGCATTTTTTTTAATTTTTTTTTTTTTTTGGAATTGTTTTTGCTTGAGGTGACGCCCTTGACATGCTGAAACCCTCCTCTTACCTTCCCTTTCCCTCTGTTTTTTGGGGGTTTCTTTTTTAATTTATTTATTTATTTGTTTCTAATCTTTTGGCAGGGTACGTAGCCCATTCACCAACAAGTAGTGGTCTTCCATGGGGCCCTGAATGAACATATTTACATCGTTTATAACATTTATGCAGAACAGTAACAAAAATAACCCTCAACCGTTTCCAAGACACGGGACATGACGTAACATTGACACTGGTCAATAAAGCGCACTTTGTGCGCATGCTCAATGATGACGTCAGTCTTTAACTTCAAGTAGGTTGAACGATGATGTCTTTCGCCTACGACCATACCATGCTGAATATACCGGTTCTCGTCCGATCACCGAAGTCAAGCAGCGTAGGGCCTGGTTAGTACTTGGATGGGAGACCGCCTGGGAATACCGGGTGTTGTAGGCATTTTTTTTAATTTTTTTTTTTTTTGGAATTGTTTTTGCTTGAGGTGACGCCCTTGACATGCTGAAACCCTCCTCTTACCTTCCCTTTCCCTCTGTTTTTTGGGGGTTTCTTTTTTAATTTATTTATTTATTTGTTTCTAATCTTTTGGCAGGGTACGTAGCCCATTCACCAACAAGTAGTGGTCTTCCATGGGGCCCTGAATGAACATATTTACATCGTTTATAACATTTATGCAGAACAGTAACAAAAATAACCCTCAACCGTTTCCAAGACACGGGACATGACGTAACATTGACACTGGTCAATAAAGCGCACTTTGTGCGCATGCTCAATGATGACGTCAGTCTTTAACTTCAAGTAGGTTGAACGATGATGTCTTTCGCCTACGACCATACCATGCTGAATATACCGGTTCTCGTCCGATCACCGAAGTCAAGCAGCGTAGGGCCTGGTTAGTACTTGGATGGGAGACCGCCTGGGAATACCGGGTGTTGTAGGCATTTTTTTTAATTTTTTTTTTTTTTGGAATTGTTTTTGCTTGAGGTGACGCCCTTGACATGCTGAAACCCTCCTCTTACCTTCCCTTTCCCTCTGTTTTTGGGGGGTTTCTTTTTTAATTTATTTATTTATTTGTTTCTAATCTTTTGGCAGGGTACGTAGCCCATTCACCAACAAGTAGTGGTCTTCCATGGGGCCCTGAATGAACATATTTACATCGTTTATAACATTTATGCAGAACAGTAACAAAAATAACCCTCAACCGTTTCCAAGACACGGGCCATGACGTAACATTGACACTGGTCAATAAAGCGCACTTTGTGCGCATGCTCAATGATGACGTCAGTCTTTAACTTCAAGTAGGTTGAACGATGATGTCTTTCGCCTACGACCATACCATGCTGAATATACCGGTTCTCGTCCGATCACCGAAGTCAAGCAGCGTAGGGCCTGGTTAGTACTTGGATGGGAGACCGCCTGGGAATGGAATACCGGGTGTTGTAGGCATTTTTTTTAATTTTTTTTTTTTTGGGAATTGTTTTTGCTTGAGGTGACGCCCTTGACATGCTGAAACCCTCCTCTTACCTTCCCTTTCCCTCTGTTTTTGGGGGTTTCTTTTTTAATTTATTTATTTATTTGTTTCTAATCTTTTGGCAGGGTACGTAGCCCATTCACCAACAAGTAGTGGTCTTCCATGGGGCCCTGAATGAACATATTTACATCGTTTATAACATTTATGCAGAACAGTAACAAAAATAACCCTCAACCGTTTCCAAGACACGGGCCATGACGTAACATTGACACTGGTCAATAAAGCGCACTTTGTGCGCATGCTCAATGATGACGTCAGTCTTTAACTTCAAGTAGGTTGAACGATGATGTCTTTCGCCTACGACCATACCATGCTGAATATACCGGTTCTCGTCCGATCACCGAAGTCAAGCAGCGTAGGGCCTGGTTAGTACTTGGATGGGAGACCGCCTGGGAATGGGAATACCGGGTGTTGTAGGCATTTTTTTTAATTTTTTTTTTTTTGGAATTGTTTTTGCTTGAGGTGACGCCCTTGACATGCTGAAACCCTCCTCTTACCTTCCCTTTCCCTCTGTTTTTTGGGGGTTTCTTTTTTAATTTATTTATTTATTTGTTTCTAATCTTTTGGCAGGGTACGTAGCCCATTCACCAACAAGTAGTGGTCTTCCATGGGGCCCTGAATGAACATATTTACATCGTTTATAACATTTATGCAGAACAGTAACAAAAATAACCCTCAACCGTTTCCAAGACACGGGCCATGACGTAACATTGACACTGGTCAATAAAGCGCACTTTGTGCGCATGCTCAATGATGACGTCAGTCTTTAACTTCAAATAGGTTGAACGATGATGTCTTTCGCCTACGACCATACCATGCTGAATATACCGGTTCTCGTCCGATCACCGAAGTCAAGCAGCGTAGGGCCTGGTTAGTACTTGGATGGGAGACCGCCTGGGAATGGGAATACCGGGTGTTGTAGGCATTTTTTTTAATTTTTTTTTTTTTGGAATTGTTTTTGCTTGAGGTGACGCCCTTGACATGCTGAAACCCTCCTCTTACCTTCCCTTTCCCTCTGTTTTTTGGGGGTTTCTTTTTTAATTTATTTATTTATTTGTTTCTAATCTTTTGGCAGGGTACGTAGCCCATTCACCAACAAGTAGTGGTCTTCCATGGGGCCCTGAATGAACATATTTACATCGTTTATAACATTTATGCAGAACAGTAACAAAAATAACCCTCAACCGTTTCCAAGACACGGGCCATGACGTAACATTGACACTGGTCAATAAAGCGCACTTTGTGCGCATGCTCAATGATGACGTCAGTCTTTAACTTCAAATAGGTTGAACGATGATGTCTTTCGCCTACGACCATACCATGCTGAATATACCGGTTCTCGTCCGATCACCGAAGTCAAGCAGCGTAGGGCCTGGTTAGTACTTGGATGGGAGACCGCCTGGGAATACCGGGTGTTGTAGGCATTTTTTTTAATTTTTTTTTTTTTGGAATTGTTTTTGCTTGAGGTGACGCCCTTGACATGCTGAAACCCTCCTCTTACCTTCCCTTTCCCTCTGTTTTTTGGGGGTTTCTTTTTTAATTTATTTATTTATTTGTTTCTAATCTTTTGGCAGGGTACGTAGCCCATTCACCAACAAGTAGTGGTCTTCCATGGGGCCCTGAATGAACATATTTACATCGTTTATAACATTTATGCAGAACAGTAACAAAAATAACCCTCAACCGTTTCCAAGACACGGGCCATGACGTAACATTGACACTGGTCAATAAAGCGCACTTTGTGCGCATGCTCAATGATGACGTCAGTCTTTAACTTCAAATAGGTTGAACGATGATGTCTTTCGCCTACGACCATACCATGCTGAATATACCGGTTCTCGTCCGATCACCGAAGTCAAGCAGCGTAGGGCCTGGTTAGTACTTGGATGGGAGACCGCCTGGGAATACCGGGTGTTGTAGGCATTTTTTTTAATTTTTTTTTTTTTGGGAATTGTTTTTGCTTGAGGTGACGCCCTTGACATGCTGAAACCCTCCTCTTACCTTCCCTTTCCCTCTGTTTTTGGGGGTTTCTTTTTAATTTATTTATTTATTTGTTTCTAATCTTTTGGCAGGGTACGTAGCCCATTCACCAACAAGTAGTGGTCTTCCATGGGGCCCTGAATGAACATATTTACATCGTTTATAACATTTATGCAGAACAGTAACAAAAATAACCCTCAACCGTTTCCAAGACACGGGCCATGACGTAACATTGACACTGGTCAATAAAGCGCACTTTGTGCGCATGCTCAATGATGACGTCAGTCTTTAACTTCAAATAGGTTGAACGATGATGTCTTTCGCCTACGACCATACCATGCTGAATATACCGGTTCTCGTCCGATCACCGAAGTCAAGCAGCGTAGGGCCTGGTTAGTACTTGGATGGGAGACCGCCTGGGAATACCGGGTGTTGTAGGCATTTTTTTTAATTTTTTTTTTTTTTGGAATTGTTTTTGCTTGAGGTGACGCCCTTGACATGCTGAAACCCTCCTCTTACCTTCCCTTTCCCTCTGTTTTTGGGGGTTTCTTTTTAATTTATTTATTTATTTGTTTCTAATCTTTTGGCAGGGTACGTAGCCCATTCACCAACAAGTAGTGGTCTTCCATGGGGCCCTGAATGAACATATTTACATCGTTTATAACATTTATGCAGAACAGTAACAAAAATAACCCTCAACCGTTTCCAAGACACGGGCCATGACGTAACATTGACACTGGTCAATAAAGCGCACTTTGTGCGCATGCTCAATGATGACGTCAGTCTTTAACTTCAAATAGGTTGAACGATGATGTCTTTCGCCTACGACCATACCATGCTGAATATACCGGTTCTCGTCCGATCACCGAAGTCAAGCAGCGTAGGGCCTGGTTAGTACTTGGATGGGAGACCGCCTGGGAATACCGGGTGTTGTAGGCATTTTTTTTAATTTTTTTTTTTTTGGAATTGTTTTTGCTTGAGGTGACGCCCTTGACATGCTGAAACCCTCCTCTTACCTTCCCTTTCCCTCTGTTTTTTGGGGGTTTCTTTTTTAATTTATTTATTTATTTGTTTCTAATCTTTTGGCAGGGTACGTAGCCCATTCACCAACAAGTAGTGGTCTTCCATGGGGCCCTGAATGAACATATTTACATCGTTTATAACATTTATGCAGAACAGTAACAAAAATAACCCTCAACCGTTTCCAAGACACGGGCCATGACGTAACATTGACACTGGTCAATAAAGCGCACTTTGTGCGCATGCTCAATGATGACGTCAGTCTTTAACTTCAAATAGGTTGAACGATGATGTCTTTCGCCTACGACCATACCATGCTGAATATACCGGTTCTCGTCCGATCACCGAAGTCAAGCAGCGTAGGGCCTGGTTAGTACTTGGATGGGAGACCGCCTGGGAATACCGGGTGTTGTAGGCATTTTTTTTAATTTTTTTTTTTTTGGAATTGTTTTTGCTTGAGGTGACGCCCTTGACATGCTGAAACCCTCCTCTTACCTTCCCTTTCCCTCTGTTTTTTGGGGGTTTCTTTTTTAATTTATTTATTTATTTGTTTCTAATCTTTTGGCAGGGTACGTAGCCCATTCACCAACAAGTAGTGGTCTTCCATGGGGCCCTGAATGAACATATTTACATCGTTTATAACATTTATGCAGAACAGTAACAAAAATAACCCTCAACCGTTTCCAAGACACGGGCCATGACGTAACATTGACACTGGTCAATAAAGCGCACTTTGTGCGCATGCTCAATGATGACGTCAGTCTTTAACTTCAAATAGGTTGAACGATGATGTCTTTCGCCTACGACCATACCATGCTGAATATACCGGTTCTCGTCCGATCACCGAAGTCAAGCAGCGTAGGGCCTGGTTAGTACTTGGATGGGAGACCGCCTGGGAATACCGGGTGTTGTAGGCATTTTTTTTAATTTTTTTTTTTTTGGAATTGTTTTTGCTTGAGGTGACGCCCTTGACATGCTGAAACCCTCCTCTTACCTTCCCTTTCCCTCTGTTTTTTGGGGGTTTCTTTTTTAATTTATTTATTTATTTGTTTCTAATCTTTTGGCAGGGTACGTAGCCCATTCACCAACAAGTAGTGGTCTTCCATGGGGCCCTGAATGAACATATTTACATCGTTTATAACATTTATGCAGAACAGTAACAAAAATAACCCTCAACCGTTTCCAAGACACGGGCCATGACGTAACATTGACACTGGTCAATAAAGCGCACTTTGTGCGCATGCTCAATGATGACGTCAGTCTTTAACTTCAAATAGGTTGAACGATGATGTCTTTCGCCTACGACCATACCATGCTGAATATACCGGTTCTCGTCCGATCACCGAAGTCAAGCAGCGTAGGGCCTGGTTAGTACTTGGATGGGAGACCGCCTGGGAATACCGGGTGTTGTAGGCATTTTTTTTAATTTTTTTTTTTTTGGAATTGTTTTTGCTTGAGGTGACGCCCTTGACATGCTGAAACCCTCCTCTTACCTTCCCTTTCCCTCTGTTTTTTGGGGGTTTCTTTTTTAATTTATTTATTTATTTGTTTCTAATCTTTTGGCAGGGTACGTAGCCCATTCACCAACAAGTAGTGGTCTTCCATGGGGCCCTGAATGAACATATTTACATCGTTTATAACATTTATGCAGAACAGTAACAAAAATAACCCTCAACCGTTTCCAAGACACGGGCCATGACGTAACATTGACACTGGTCAATAAAGCGCACTTTGTGCGCATGCTCAATGATGACGTCAGTCTTTAACTTCAAATAGGTTGAACGATGATGTCTTTCGCCTACGACCATACCATGCTGAATATACCGGTTCTCGTCCGATCACCGAAGTCAAGCAGCGTAGGGCCTGGTTAGTACTTGGATGGGAGACCGCCTGGGAATACCGGGTGTTGTAGGCA